TCACTTAACCACCGATTTTCCAATCTGCAGCATTTTAGCCTTTGCTTATTTACACTCAGGGGGACCGGGAGGCAACAACTGGTAATAATTAAGAATTATTATGAGAGCCAAGCCACTTAGTCTGTAGGCAACTTCCCTTGGTCAAACCGCCACAGCAATTAAGTGGTCATAGAAAATAGAACAGAAGGAGCCATGGTACTGATTACCCACACTTATATGTCACCTCCTAAAAGACTCCCTTGGACTTTTAAAACATCAAAAGGCTACTAAACCTCTCCTGTTGTTTGTGAAGATCCATAATCCCTTATCAAAACCTTAATCCCAGATGTATTTTGGAATTGAAAGTTTTTTCTGAGTTCAGAAATTTTATATAGTACTTGAACTACATTTTATGTAACATCTCCAGGTGGGGTTCAATGCAGCACCCCTACTCAAAGACATTAATATTTTTCACAAGTTGGATAGATAATGACTATGAGTAACCTGACTTCATTTCATGATAGATTTTGCCAACAAAGGAGATATTTTAAAACCTTTTGGTTTCCATCGCTTTTTGGATTTTGGAAATCCATAATTTCTAAAATGTGGGCCTAAGATCTGATATTACTTTTCTGCAGAAACCTCCCACAGTGATTTAGTGCAAAGAGACACTAGAACTCAGACCCCGACTGATGTGTAAGGCCTTGAGTCTTATGTCTCACCCAGTGGTATAGCCTTCCTCTCTCTACCTAAAATAGTAACCCCCTCCCCAAATGCCCAGTCACTTGGGCCCCACTAACGCTTACCAGCTCAGACATACCCCAGACATGCTTACTCCGGATGCTTTTGTTCAGCTGGTTTCCTCTACCTATGACAACTCTTGTGTTCCTTTTCTTCTCATTCCTAGCCCAGCTTTTTTTCTGCTGTTAATCCTAACCACCTTCCAAGTTCCCAGTCTGGGAGGTTCTCCTAGATCTACCAGTTTGCAATGACTTTCTCTCCTTTGTTCAGCCTCTGTACTCCATATCTTTATTATGGTACCTATGAGAGACTGCCAGATATTTTAGAAAGCTAGTATGTGTGTATCCTTTACTAAATTATGAGCCCTTAAAGTAAGTGGTTCACAAATCTTAATATGCATGAATGCTGCTTGTTATAATGCAGATTCCTGGGTTCCTCTCTCTTTCCCAAGAGATTCATTTTCAGTAGGTTTGAGTGGGACCCAGATAACTGCATATTAGCACATTTCTGATTGTTTAAACTCTCCTTGAATAGGAGGAAGCTGACAGCGGGTTCTGTTCTTGAAATAAGGAGCTGGACCCAGGACTCTGGAATCAGAGCCTAAAATTGAATTGTGGCCTCCACATCAATCCACACATAAGTGCTGGCATTGTTTTTCTTGCCTAATTTCATCTCCTTTACGTGCTTCTGTTAGGAATGAAATCCCCAGCAGATGACTGTGATGATGGTATAGTTTTGAGTAACATTTATATAGGTTTCTTGGTAGAGCAAAACTTGATTCTATCATGCCATTAGTAATATCAGTGTGGGAAAGAGCCAGAGACAGTGCAAAAATGGCTAAGTGCCAACAGGCTGGCAGGTGGACACACATCCTGGGACCACACGAGATCATGGACTTTTGACGGCTGAAGAATTCATCTGGAAGGCTGAAGAAATCATCCTCTTTCCAGGACATTCATTTCAGAAATGCTGCTGCCTATGCTGTATTTAGGTTTCTGAGCATGGAGAGAGCCTGGTTGTAGCCTGTACAGCCCCTCCAAAGACAACCCACACTCTTATTTTTGGTGTCTAACAATGATTTTGACAAACATAGTAATTAATGTAACTACTGTTCAGTGAGCTCTGTGTGCTGGAACTGTGTTAATCACTTTATAGAAATTATCTCATTGACTCCTCAAAACAACCCAAAGATGAAGTATAATTTTTGCCTCTTACTGGTGAGGACCTCATGCTCAGAGAGGTTAGGCAGCGTGTTCGTGATAACATAACTAATGATGGGAGGGACGGATGTCAGCCCAGGTGAGCTGCCTGCAGAACCTATGCTCTGATACTGCTCCAGCTACCACTTTTAATATTTAATGTTCTGACTTACTATTATAATGGAAGCCCTACTCTATCTTCTGTGTATTTGAGAGGATTTGTTTTTTTCATTCATATCTTCGAATGTCTGTGAATGACTCTGACCTCAATCCTGTGTGTGTCTGGACCTCTACTAGAAAGCATTTGGCATATGGGTAGCTTACCCAACACAAGGATACACCACCAGGAGTGGCTAAGTGCTATGGGAGCTCTTAAGAGAAGAGAAAGTTAGTGTGACTCCTCCTAACTGCCTTCCTTTCACTGGACATGAATGCCAGTAAACCTAGTTTGAAGTCAAAACTGAAGAATGGGCCTTCTAGATGGGATGTAAGCACGTTGCATTTAAATCTGTTTTCCTTAATGGTACAGTTAGGCAGGGATAAACAGCATTAACATGTTGGAATTCCTTGTGGTTTTTAATTTATTTCCTGGCTACAGTCAATCAAATGGTCATTCCACAATGAAAAAAATCTGGACACTTTTGTGTTCTGTGCCTTGCTCCTTTGCTGCTGATATTGGAAAATACCACTATTTTGACCAACTATAAATTAGACTGATTTCTGCGAGAAAAAGAGTTCTTGGGAACATTTAGTTGCTTAACACGTGGACCATGGTTAGTGATTGAGATAAAAATAGAGATACTGACTTGGGCTTATTCGCTTAGAAAAAAATCTCATTTTACAGGTTAGTACTAACACATGAGAAAGAAAAATAGCCAGACAAGCTCAAGGCAAATATCATAAAGCCAGTGGGATATGATATGGAAGGAGCTAGAGAAATTTTCCTGAGCATTTAAAAAACAAGGAGAAATAAAGAGAAGAGTTAGAATGGAAAACTTTTAAAATAAAGGTTCAGGGAAGTTGTGCAAGCAGGAAGCCACAGTCTCCATGAGCCTTTCATCTGCTAGCTATCACTTTGTACACAATGTAAGAGTTCCTTAGGCTGGTAGAGGGGGTGTTCTGTCCTTGCCCCATTGCCTAGAGGGAAAAGTTGTGCAGGTGTGAGCAGAGTTGTGAGATGTAGGTAAGTACCCCATAAAGCAAACACATGTGAGCAAAGCAAACTCTCAGGTGATGAATATAGCCAAAAGAAAACACTGTGTTCTATGGATTGGGAGATATAGAATCTGCTTAGGGCTCTTCTCATCAGCATTAAGTTTTCTGTCTGGGGGATGCGAACCTTTCGTGGTTCTCCCCCAGTTAACCAGACTGTCTCTAGTCTACCCTGCCCTGGTTGTCTAGTAAATATTTCTACCTGACCTAAATCCAGCCCAGTACAGCACCTCCTGGCATCCCCTTGTGTATTCCTTCATGGTTTACTACATCACCCTCTAATCACTTTCCCCAAGCTAGAAATCTTAGCATTAGACTTGGTCTTCCAGTTCTTTCGCCTTTTACATTCAAGATAGTCACTAAGTCCTCGTCATTTTACAGTGATTTATTACAGACCTATGTCTTCTCTCTTATGAGACCCTGAGATACTTTCCAAATTGGTCTTTGTCTTTTTGTCGTTTTCCATTCAGGTGATCCTCAACTCTGCAAGAACTTTCTTATTTCTAAAATGCAAGATGAATTTTAATAGTCTTGCATAATTTTCTAAAACTATGTTCAAATTCCCTAATGTGACTTAATCTGTTTCCATTCTACTTTTACCATAGAACCTGTATAACATATGTTTTCTTCTTTCCCCTGATTTGATACTGTAACCCTATTTCTATGATCCTTGATCCTGATTTTTATTCTTATTTATATTTAATTATCAATTTGTGTTATATGGTCTTTTTGTAAAATGCCACTAACCCAAAAGAGAAATGACTAGACTGAAGTTCAGACTCAGAATTATTTTACTGTAAAGCTAGCTGTTCCTTAAATGCACTGATATTTGTGATCTTAAAGTTACTAAGGAAGTATGTTTTCTAATTTGGGAATTTCTGAAAAATGTTAATGGGAGGTACATATATTTTATTGCCATTTGAAGACAACAAAATGAAGTAATCGACCATTGAGTATCCCTGTAGCCCTGATTTTTATTTGTTAGGCATTTGTGCTAGGGATTATTCACAAAATTTTAGTCATAATTGGAAGTCACAGATCCCACATTAGTACCCCATATTTTGCACAGATGGAGGCTTTTTTGTTTTAATATATATATTGTCCATTACCTAACACTCTTAAGTGCTTGGGTATTCCCAACTGAGCAAGACAGCGCTACTTGGCAAATAAGAACACAGACTCTGAAGCCAGATAGCCAAGGCTCTGATCTCTGTTCTGCCACTTAGCTGTGTGGTCTAGGGCAAATTCCTTAATTTTTGTGTACCTTGGTTTCTCCATGTTTTGTAAAATGGATTTAAGTAGTAAGTTCTTTAGGTTTGTGGCCAAGATTAAATAAGTTAATATATGCAGAATACTTTGAATAGGTCCTGGCACATAATAAGCACTCATATCCTAAGTGTTAGCTATTGCTGTTTTTGTCGTTAGAGCTGTATTGTTTATGTGAAAGGCTAGTTTGTCTGTAAATATTACTATCATTAGGTCAAAATCAATAATATTTAAACAGTCACTATTTCTGGACATCTGAGTCTCTGGGATCTACTACCACAGCTCACCTAGAAAACAGTGGTCAGGTTGCATATACCATACCTGCAGGAGTGAGAGCCCAAGCCCCCCTGCAACTTGGCTGTTGAGAGTGCCATTTCTGGGCTCTCCTTCTGCTGAATGTCTCTCGGCAGAGCACTTCAAAGCAGCGGAATGTGGAAAATGAGGCTCATTCTGCTCCCTTTTCAGGGCTGTGGGAGTTCTAGTTACAGTAATTGATAGTTGGTAACGTGCAGGGTCCACTCGCCTCTCTTCCATTTCTGCCCAAGCCCCTGCTCCTGCTTGATAACGTCTTAGTAATGTGCCTCATATTTGATGTTCTCCCACATGGCCCATTGCAGCTCTCATGGTCTGCAGGCCAGATGCAGCCAGCGTGGGAACAGCATGGCCCAGAGGATTGCAACTCAGTGCTGTCAATGGGATGCCAGAGCACAAGGACCAGAGTTCAGAAACCTGCTCTGGCAGTCTGCTCCAAATGCCCATGGAAGACAACATGGAGAGGGGGCGGGGGGCGCTGCCCTCTGCATGACTTTTCTAGGAAGAAAAAGACTCAAACCAAGGGGTGTGGTTGGCCCAGAATCAGAATTGCTTTCTAAGCATCCAACTCCATGGTTTCTTCCTCCTCAGAGTTATTTCCCCCCTTGAAGAATATAGAAACATCTGGCTCATTTACCAAGTCCTCTGGCAACCTCTGAAATTTCTAAAGCAGAATAGCTAGCTAGATACATGAATTTAAAAAAAGTCTAAAAATAAATACTTCCACCTAAAATCAGAATTTGCACCTAGAATTTTTCTCTTTCTCTCCCCTTTCTTTACCCTCTTTCTGCCCCACTTTCCTCCTTGTTTTCCTTCCACTTTTTTTTCTCTCTACTTACCTCTTTCCATTAAAAAAAAAAAAAACTAATGTATCCATTACCTATGTATTGACTGTCTGCATTGCATCAGATGCTGTGAATACATGGGTGAGCAAGACAGACACTACCCCATAGAACCTAATGTGTACGTGTGTTGGGGGTAATCTAATAATTTCAAAAATACATAGTTATATACTGAGATAAGTACCAGGAAAGAAAAGTACTAAAAGCCAGGAACATTTATAAAGGGAACCTGATCTGGTCCAGGAGTTGTAGGAAGGCTTTCTTCTGAAAGATTAATGGGGCTAACAAAAAGTGAAAGAGCAGGATAGTCATTCCAGGAAGAGGAAATGTTCTGCACCAATATCATCAGATGGAAGCATTACATGTTCAGGACATTAGAAGAAGTTTTATTATAGATAAGTCAGAAGAGAAGGAACACAGTATTCCATTGGAGTTATCTGTTAGTTTAGTGTGGGAGATTTTATGTATGTATTGAACAAATCAAAGCTTTACCTAAATAGTTTTTCTAGATAAGTTTTTCTAAGTTATAAAAGAAATACGGGTACCCTCAAGGCTAATGTTAGTGGTAGGTAAAATGAATATTGGTTTTCCTCTGTTTAGTGAAATAAGATAGATTATAGTATTCATAAGGAATTCTAAGTAAATTTCCTTAAAGAGGGTCGGGCAGTTCTCCTGACAGTTTTCTTTCTTCACAGGATGGGGAACAGGGAATGAATTAATGGTGAGGTTTTAGTGTGAAATGAAATTGTGATATTTACTAATATCTTAATAATATTTTCTTAGTCTTTTGGTACTCAGGCCAACCATATACAGGATATGAACTGAGTATTCAAGGTGTCAGTAACCCCTATTTATCCTTCAGAGGGAACAGCACTGTGGAGAGATGGACTCAAGCCCCCAATATACTGCCCTATTATTTATTTAAATAGGCACTTTTTGTCTAAAAAGGAAGTGTTCATAAGTCTGTTAGGAGGACTCCACGGTTGGTGGAAACAGTTTCTTCTCCTAATTTGTTTTCAGGCCTTGTTTGCACCCGTGATTAACACACTGTCCAAAGTTATCTGTGCACAGAAGACGTTGTGAGCCCTTCCTTAGGAAACTCCTGGAAAACAAGGACATAACTGAGCAAGAGGAAGACAGATATAAGAAACAGGGATTCCACACAGGAAAAAAGCGAAGACAAGTTTCAGGATAAAGGTCAAAATAGCGTCCAGATGGCAGTAGTGCACTGGCACAAACAACTTGCCTGCTTGAAAATGTAATCCTACCCTGATACTTGATTGTTAGCTTGGCTGGGTATAGAATTCTAAGTTGGAATAAATGTACCAAATTAAATAAAGGATAGGGCAATCAGCTGGGGGTTTGTGCCTGTGTCTCTATAGCACTGCTCCCTCTGAAGAATAAATAGGGTCTAACTCTGCCTTGAATCTCTTGTTTAATCCTGTTTCAATTTATTTCAAAGGAATACATTTTTTGAAGATGTTGTTGCTTTGTATTCTAGATTCCAGTATCCTCAAGAAGTCCAAAAGGATGCTAATTTCCTTATCTTTTCTATAGGACATTTTTCTTTTTGTCTCTGAAAGTTCATAAGATCTTTTAATCCCTAGTGTTCAGCAATTTCACAGTAATAGATCTAGGAGTGGTTTCTTTTCATCTATTGTACTAGTAGTCAGTGGGTCCCCTCAGTGTTGGAATTAATATTTTTCAAATTTTCTTGAATTCATGAATGATCCTCCTCCACCCAACCCCTGGGTTTTCTATGTGCATCTTTTTTTTTTTTCATTCAGTACTTTGTTATTCAGATGTTGAGGATCTTATGATGAATATTGTGAATTATCTCACATCCATGCCAACCTCCTTCCAGTTTACCTTTGTGTACTGCAAGGGCTAGAAGGATAGGCACTGTTTCTAAGATCTTTTGCAGCTAGTGTTCTGAATGTGATTTAGATCTGTCTGTACTTCTTTCTGTTCTGTTGGCAGGTATGGCCATGGAAGCTTTTTACTGTGGGACAGCATTAGCAGGCATCCCAGTGTTTGGTCACTAACTCTGTGAGGTCAAGAAGCGGACTGCTTGCCATCCATTTTGCTTGTATGGATTGTGGCAGGCACAGCCTGACTTTGCAGTCCATAGCAATACCTATGACTCCCCGATCTTGGCAGCAATAACATGCTTCTGGAATTAGTGGCTCTAGTGGCAGTTTGCCACTTCAGGAGGCAGTCTCTGGATGTTAGAAGAGGTGAAGCTCCCTTTGTGGCTTAGTTCTCTAGTACAGTTGGGGAGTTGTACTGAAAGCTCAACTTCAAGTGTGCTTCTTTAGCTGTCTTAGAGATTATGTTATTTAATGTATTGTAAGAAATAATTTCTGCTAAAACTAAATAACATGAATTATTTTCTCTGCAAAGGATTCTGATTAGTATGACTCTCCTAGATTTATTCTTCTAATTTCTTTTTACTTTTTTCCTGTCTTCCAACTCTATTTTTGGGAGGATATTTTCTTAACTTTAGTTTCTAACTTTACAGTTGAGTAATTGAGCTTTACAAATTCATACACACACATACATATAATATGTAAGTACACTTTTTTCTTTTCTGGGTATTCTTACAGCATCCTGTTTTAGTTTTATGAATAGACCATCCTCTGTTACTTTCCTGAGGGTATTAATGATAGTCGTTGTTATTGTTGTTGGTTTTAAGTTTTCTTCCCCCTGCATAGTCCCTGTATATTCCTGGTTGCTTTTGATAGTCTGTTTAGGTCTCTGACTTTCATACTAGAGACTTGGCTCAGTGATTCTTGGTGGTCGGCTCATATTTTAAGAAGAGGACCTTAAAAGTCAGTTAGAAACCCTGAGCATGTCATTGGGTGTTGTTACCTGGGACTTCATGATAAGGTGGCCTGGCTGTGCTGTTTAATGGGGAGGCCCCTGATGTCACCCTCTTCATGGTTTTCTTCTTGTCCAGGTTAGATTCCCCAGGGAAGGATTTTTCTAATCTGCCTATAAAAAGTATAGTCTGACTGCCAGGGTCCTGGGAGCTAAATACAAAAAGAGGAAAGGGGGCGGGGTGCTCTAAACAAGTATGCAAATATTCTCTTTGAAGAAAATAACAACAGTAATTATTTTTAATACATTGCCACTACCCTAAACTGTGGCTGGTACATAGAGGGTTAGAAAAGTCAGGAACCTACCCATAAAAGCAGAGAAAGGGATTGGGGCATCTAAATATTTTCTTGAACAGACTTTGAACCATTCTGTTTTTGTTTTTTTAGAATTTTTCTTTTTTTTAGATGGAGTCTAGCTCTGTCACCAGACTGGAGTGCAGTGATGCAGTGTCAGCTCACTGCAACCTCTGCCTCCTAGATTCAAGTGATTCTGTTGCCTCAGCCTCCTGAGTAGCAGGGATTACAGGCAGGCACCACTACACCCAGCTAATTTTTGTATTTTTGGTAGAGATGGGGTTTCACCATATTAGCCAGGCTGGTCTCAACCCTCTGACCTCATGATCCGTCCACCTCGGCCTCCCAAAATGCTGGGATTACAGAGGTGAGCCACCGCACCTGTCCCATTCTTTCTATTTTAGCTCTGTCTCACCCCTGCTTCCAAAGGTAGTGATGAAGCCTTAAAATCCATAGATTTGGGGAGATTCTTTGATACATATTGGGTGGGTTGCTTTGTGGCTTTTCCCTACTGCCAGCTTAGGTTTCAGCTTTCTTGTGCCTATTTGGGTCATTAACCACCTATCCATTTGCAATATAGCTTGCAAAGTTTTGTTGATGTTGTGTTCTCTTCCATTTCATTTGTCTTTGGGTTTGTGCCTTTAAAAGACAATCTCCTTAGTCACTTTAGTGAGGTTTAAGAGAAACCACAAGTAAAGGCATGTGTTCAGACCATGGTCTTAACCTGGAATTTGGTTAACTTTTCTATGAATCATGAAGAATAGAAGTATATTGGCTTTGCTTTCCTTATCATCATGTAATTAATTATTAAAATTGTGGACTATATGTCTTTAAACTGTGTATTAAACTTAATTTTGTATGAGTGTGTCTAAGCTTAAAATAGAATGGAGAAGAGCAAAAATAAAGAAATGCAGTGTGTCCTAAAAATATGAAGTAATTTCCTTCCCTCGCTGCTAGTAGTACTTGTATCAAGCTGCATTAGCACCAGAACTGTATTATTTACACTGATTTGACGATACTTAGTGGGAAGCATGTGCAGTCAACATCTCTGCCTTAAACCCCTGGCAAAGGAAGAGGGGTGGGTTTTGGTTTTTCTTTAGTGTGTTTTATGTGATGGTAATTTATATTTGCCACCCAAATAGTATACTTTTGGGGAATTTACTATTAGGGAGTTGTGGCAACTCAGAAATGATTTGCTTGAGTTCAGTGAAACCTTTCACATCAGCACATTCTCACTGTTCTTCATTCCTGGTGCCTACAGCAAAGATTTAATAAGCCCTGTTTGCAAAACAAAAAGAGAAAAAGAGTAATGGCTCAATGGAAGGCTCCATTAATGTTTCAGACCACTGACTGTTGAATCCAAATATAGATTTTAGGAAGAAGGGCTGAGAAGAGTGAATTTCCTCTAAAGCATAAACCTTTTCATCTTTACTATGAGATTAAAATTGAATCATGAAAGTGGAAAAATTAATCGTTGGGAATGTGTTCTAGGTATAATGCTTACTTTTTGA